CACTACAACCTTATATTCAGCAACATCAAAGAAATATCAAATTTGTATTTCAATAATGCTGATAAAACTATGATAGCTAGCAATGGATATAAACTTTATTACACAGCAGGTGATAATATAAATAGTAACTATGGGCTTTACTCTATTCAAGATCTTTTATATCTGGTAGACTATTTGTTAAATAATAGCTATTGCATATTTGGAGGCACTGTATTGGAACAACAAAAAGAAGTTCTTCAGAGAGGAAACTTCAGCCCATTGTTGGCATATCTTACGCTTTCTATATTAGAATACAAATACGCAAAAAGAAATAAATTACATTGTAATAGAATATTTGCTCCATATAGGTACATGGATGGTACTAATTATTCATAACTTAGAAGAGTACAAGTTAGAGGAAGAGTCAAATACAGCTTATGGAGACTCCTTGGAAACCAAAAAAACTCACATATCGGATAAAAGAAGTTACTATCTTGATCTCGATATTAGTGTAATTAAGAATGAAATTATTACCGCTCTATATAACAAAACTGATGTCTTTAACTTTAGGGGATACCAGATTCCCATATGGAAATACCAATATCACAATACAGAGCAAAGCGAGCGTCAGTTATATATACTGAGACTTTTAGGAAGCTAATGCGTGTACTTTGATGCACAACTTTTTTCTATTAAAGTCAGAGAAATGATAGAACAATTGGTTCAAAATGAATATGACGAAACGTCTGTAATAGCCAATATTGTAAAATGCATTTATAGAGACAAATTCATCAGCTATAAATACGGCCTGGACACAAAATTTACAATACTTAAAAAGTTAGTTAATGATTTATTTTCATCGAAATGGTACTTAGGTAAATCTATTAGCGGCTGTGTACAAATCGGCTACCATCTCCTCTTCATTTCTCTTCCTCAATTAATCACTTTGTATGTGGTTGGTGTGTTACCTCCATGGCAGTTAGCACGCTCCAGTGGTTACAGGATCGATTTCATATACAGTATCTTTCTTCTACTCAAATGAATACCATATTCGTACAAAAATTAGGACTCTTCTTCTCTACATTTCTCATACCACTTTCTTTGAAAGTCACGTTTCTTTACTTTACCACTCTCTTAAATTTTTGTTCCTTTACTTTACCATTCTACATTATTAACCATCACTTAATTATTGTGGTAGATAGTTATTTACCACGTTGATTCCTTACATACTCCTTTATTCCTACTGTCCCTCACTTTCTGAAGAGCCCCGAGGGACAGTAGGAACAAAGTGGTTCGTCTAAGTGAGGGGCGAAACGAACCATCCTATAGGAATATTATGGTCATGGATTCCTTTAGGATCACAATAGTAGTTCTGTGTGAATAAATGTTTCTAAGAAAAGTGCTCACCTCTACAGCGCACACTTGAAACGATCGTCGCAGCCGTGGGGTCGCGATCACTTCACGTGAATCATTGTGCCTTTGCTACAAGACTATGTGGCGGCTTCTGATAACTGCATGCAAATTAACTTCCTCCGAAAATGTAATAATTTGCTAAATATTTAGGCTCCAAATTAGATCTTCTCGGGAAGCATTTTCGCTGGATCTCTTATGTTTTCAGCACTCTTCCTTCTCCGCTACGGCCTCTGCTGTATAGCATCGCTAACGTTATCGGAGATAAAGGAAAGACACAGTAGTAACTTATTTTGGGAAGTAGCACACTGCGTATCAGTATGACATTTTCTTTAACATTTCGACACCGTATGACCGTTCACAGCATCTCGTATCTCACAAGCTAAATGTCGTGATTCGAGTCGTTCATTTTCATCCTTGCAGGCGCTTATTGCTGTTCTCAACATGTTGCAGACGATTGCACGTTTAACGGTTTGTGGATAACCTGATGTGGCGTGAAGTTAGATATTCTCACATATTTCACGGTACCACTTCGCACTAACAACGTCATTGTACCTACATACAATATATATATACCTATATATATATTGATATATATA